AACTAGCGCAGGGCTCTCTGCTTTGGCTGTGGTTTCTCAGCACTAGAGCTGGCCCTGCTGTTGGCTCAGGCGCCAAGGCAGTTGCTGGTGTCCCTGGGAGAATGAATGGAGCTCAGTGTGACAGCTACTTCAAGCTCAGAACCCCCTTTGTGCTGCCTCAAGTGGCCGTTGAGAGTGTGGCTGGGGATCAGCTGGTAGGTAGCTGTCCCACAGGCCCTCTTCAGCCTGTGCTAGCCTAGGCCAGCCTGCCACACGGTTTGAAGTCCTGAACACACCAGCTATTGCTCTCCTGCCTCCAGGTCTTTGCTAGGGCTGGACCCAAACTCAGAATGGTCCTCTTTCCTCCATAGCCTCAATCTTTTGCCAGTCCCTCCAGGGCCAGCCTGAGCCACAGTGCCCCAGGAACCCTGTCCCTTTTCCTTACCCTTTGCCTGGGCAAGTCTATGACTCAGTTGCTGACAGCTTGGCCAGGTGCCAGCAGTAATTGGAGACTTAAAACTTCATAGTCAAAGGTATTGAACTTAGGCAAACCCAAGTTCAGCCCCTGTCTGAGTGACCTTGGGCAAGTTGTGCCTCCTCTGAGATTTTTTCCCTCTGTTAGTATGATGGATGGAGCAAATACAATACCCTCTTGTGATCTTAAGACTGTGAAATAAAACATCTTTATGGAGGTTATCAATATTATATTCATATGTATCTTTATGTGCATGTTCCAAGCAGAACTCAAGCTTTCTGGATGCCTTGCCCATCTATATTGGTCTGAATACCATAGGTGCTCAATAGATGCTTTTCCCTGGGTTGACCTGATTGCCTGGTATTGTGGATGGTATAGGGAGACAGTTAATATCCTCCAACTTTGAAAGCGAATAGTCCTGAGTCCCAGTTCTATTGCTTCCTGGCTCAGTGGCTTTGGGCAGGTCACTTTCAGACCCTCAGTTTCCTCTTCTGTAATCTGGACCTGATAATAGCACCTCCCAAGAGAGAAGCTCTAAAGTGTCAGGGATGATGCATGTCAACACTGGGCCCGGCAGAGTCAGTGTCCATGACCCAGGCAGTTTGAGAAGGAATCCCACGCTTTGACAGGACTATGGGCATCACCGGCCATTCTCTGTCCTGTACTACTATACCTCGTGAGCCTCTGTCTATCGGATCCCACCATTAGCCAGAAGCAGCCCAGCCTAAGAGCCTGCCTTCTCTTTTCTCCTCCACATGCCTCCACCCAATTCTTGCTCTGCAGTGGGAAATCAAGGTCCAGACCAGGGTCAAACAGCTGGTCAGTGGCTCCCTTTCCTGCTGTGTCTCAGCAAAGGCAGCAGGACCAAGGGCTCTCTCAGAGACTGGTCAGTAGGTCAGCCAGCAGACAGTTACTAAGTACCAATCTGGACAGTTTAGCCAAATCCATGGGAAGCAGGAAACCAACAAAACAGAAGTCGAAGTCAGCAAGAAATTGTTTCTGGGGCCACGACCTAATTTCTTCTCACTTCTCCTTGTGTTTTGCCAGATTTGGTAGGTGGCAGCCTTCAAACAGACTGCTGACCCCCTTATGGATGGATATGTGTCCCCCCGAAATATAAATCAACTTGATTAGGCCATGATTCTCAATATCATGTAATTATCCTCCATTTCTGTGACCTGATGTAATTATCCTGTCTTATACACCCTAACTTCTATGATGTTAATGAGGCAGTTATGGTAGTATACAATCTACAGGATTCAGTTGTGTTTCGAGCCAATCTCTCTGTAGATATAAACAGGTTAAACAAGTGAGTGGAGGCCAGAAGGACCTGACTACCACCAAGACAGAACTGGGAGCAGAGCTCATCCTTTGGACCCAGGGATGCCTGTGGTGAGAACCTCCTAGACCCAAGGCAAGATCAATGCCAAAACACATGAAAAGCTCCAAGGGACACTGAGCCAACAGATGTTGGAAGGAGGCAAAGCTCTTCCTCCATAGCTGGCAGAGAGAGAAAGCCTTCCCCTACAGCTTGGTGGCTTGAATTCAGACTTCTACCTCCTAAACTATGAGAGAATGAATTTGTTGAAGTCACTGCTTTTAGTTCTAGGATAGCAGCATTTGATGACTAAGACACCCCACTTGCCTACCTTCTTCCTCAGGCAGTGTTGAGATCTTAAGGCTCAGAAAGGAAGTAACTGGCGGATGTTGGGGTTCAGACCAGGCATGGTGGAGGTGACACCACCGGAACCTCTGCTGAGGCCTCTGCTCACAAGAAACAGAGAGTGGGCCCCTTTCTCAATCTGAGGCTGGCACACATACCTGGCAGGCCCCCTCATGTGCTAGCTTGTCTGTGTCATGGTTTTGCCCTGGCTCCACCTCTAATCCAGATGGGCTGGGCCTGACAAGGGTATAAAGACATGGTTTAAATACCAGCTTGGCCACAGGCCAGCTGTAGGACCCTGGCCAGTGATGTCACCTGAGTCCTACTGTGTACTTGAAAATAGTACCCACCTCATATGGTTGAGTGAGAATTGATAGAATTCTCGTACAGTGTTAAGTGTAGGGTTGGCTCATTTCATTTTTCTTCAATAAATGGTAATTACTGTAATTATTATCTTTACCCTCCCTGCTCTCCCCCACCTCCAATTTAGCCAATGGATTTTCTGCTTCCAACAGTTTTCCATGAAACTGGTCCATCACTCCCAGACACATTGCTCTCACAGGCTCCACACTACCCTTGGGAGAGGACTCCCCATTCCTTGGACTGACATTTAAGGCCCTCCCTGGCAAGGTCTTGCCCCAGAGCTGGGCTTCTTAGGACACCAAGATCAGTAAACTCATCCTAGTTGTCACATGATGGTTCAAGACCAGGCAGTCTAGGGGAAGAACTGGGGAGCAAACCTGAGGGCTTTCTGCAGGCAGAGAAGGGTGGAGAAGAAGGAGGGATCAAGAGAGTGTAGCCCTGAAGTCAAGAAAGCTTCAAAAATTAGGAAATGGTAGGAGGATTCCTGTTGCTACAACCTGGGAAAATTAGCTGGAGCGTTTGAAGAAGAAATGCAAGTAGACTCTGCTTTAGGATAATCTAGTGAGGACAGATGGAGAAGCCAGATTAGGGTGGCCAGGACTCAGGAAGGAGGGGGCAGATTGAAGGGGTGTGGAGGACATTGAAAAGGCAGCTTTGCTAAGAGATGGTCACTGGGCAGTAATAGGGCAGAGCTAGAGGAAGATTGTTGTTGTTGTGAAGTGCCATTAAGTCAGTTCCAACCCATAGCAACCCTGTATAGGGTTTCCGAGGAGCTTCTAGTGAGGTTGAACCACCGATCTTGCAGTTCAAACAACTTTGCATTCTGATGCATTAGCCCACAGTACCTTAACTTGTTGTTGCTAAGTGCCATCAAGTCGGGATCCGACTCATAGTGATCCAGTACAGGGTTTCCAAGGAGTAGCTGGTGAGTTAGAACTGCCGGCCTCAACGGCCCACACCGACGTTGAAGTTTACCGCATTAACCAGCAACGTCACACCAGAAGTCCACGTTGGAGGCTTCTAAAAGGGAGTAGGACTTCAAACCCTATTGTTCTAAACGATCTTGTTAGGAATCACCTGGCAGTTCTCAGCAGGGGATCAAACTGGAATGAGCAGTTAGGAAGACACCAGGAAAATGCTGGGGAAGACATAGGTGGATGAGGACAGGGAGGCGCTGGGCCAGAAGTGAGATAGTGGGTGAACAGTGGGTTTAGTGACTGGCACAAGGACAGCAAGTCAAAGTACCACTGCTATCCTCCTAAGCAGACAATAAATAGTACGGATCACAAGAATCCTCTGCAGATTCAGAGAGGCCACGCTCAAGTCCCAGCTTTGCCACTGTGACCTTGGGCAAATGACCTCACCTGAGCCTCAACGTCCTCCTCTGTAAAATGGGTTAGTGGTCCTGACTATGAGGGCTGTTGCCAGGACTTAGCGAAGCGCCCTGCACTTCTTGAGCACATGTTAACAAAATGCTGTTTTTATGGGCCAAATCTGTTCTAGCGCAGCACGCATGGGATGGCGGTGTTGTGATTATACCGGAGTCCCAGAAAACCAGGGGTCGAGAGTTGCTGGCTCTCCGCCTCCAGTGTCGCCGCGCCCCCTGGCGGCCGTCGGTTGCCATGTCAACGACGGGTGGAGGGGGCCGAGGAAGGCGGCGGCGGGGGCCATTCACTCCTTCCAGGGCCGGAGGCCGCTCCCTAGGAGCCTCCCGCCTTCGCCTCTGGTGGGGGGAACTCCGAGCCTTGAAGGAAAGGGGTCATCGCAGCACTCAGCCAGGGGTGGTAAACTGAGGCACGCGGCGGGGCGCCCCTCAGCCAGGTGTGAGGCGCGGAGCCCCACCTTCAAAAGCGGGGGAGGGGCCGCGGGCGGTGACGCGCCGAGGGCGGCCGGCGGACACCGGGCGGGCGGGCGGCGACAGCGGCGGCGGCGGCAGGTGCGGCCGCTGAGGGTGGGAGGGAGTAGGGAGGGGGCGAACGGAGGGGGAAGGGAGGGCAAGGCCAGGGCACCTCCCCTTTTATAACGCGCCCCCTCCCGGGCTTTGGGGCTGCCTCTTGGTCGGATCTTCCCGTCTCGCTCCCTAACCCGGACGCCCCCGGCCGAGGACCGGCCAGAGAGCCCCCCAGACCGTGACTCGGGGGCCGTCACCCCCTCCCCTGCTCACCGCCCCGCGCAGCCCGGCGGAGGCGGTGCCGTCGGAGGAGGAGGAGCAGGGCACTGCGGCTGGCCCCGATCGGGCGCCAGAGCGTCAAGCAGCTTCGGCAGCAGCGGCGGTCCGGGCCGATGCAGAGGGACGCGCCGCCCCGAGCTCCTGCCTCGGCGCCCCGGCTCCCCGCGCCCCCAATCGGAGCCGCTGCCGCCACTGCTGGAGGCGGCGGCGGCGGCGGCGGCGGCGGCGGCGGCGGAGGCGCCTCTGCAGCTTCGGTTCCCTCTGGCCTCCCGGGAACTACAAGTCCCAGGGGGCCTAGCGGCGGGCGGCGGGCGGAAGAGGCGGGGTCAGCGCCGCGAGGCCGGAAGTGGCCTTGGAGGCGGAAGTGGCGCGGCCGCGGAGGGGCCTGGAGCACAGCGGCGGGACCTGGAGCAGGAGCGACGACTGCGGCTGGAGGTGGCGGTGGTGCACTGGAAACGGCCATGGCAAAGCAGTACGACTCAGTGGAATGCCCCTTTTGTGATGAGGTTACCAAATATGAGAAGCTCGCCAAGATTGGCCAAGGCACCTTTGGGTAAGATTGGGCCCGAGGGGCTGGGGTCCCTGGGGCTGCATCTTTCACAGTCGACATCAGAGCGTGTAGAGCCAGGCCCGAGGGACTCTCGGAAGCCGCCAAACCTCTGGCTTGTCCCCTGCTCTCGATAGGCCATGCCGCACCCCACCCGAGCCTAAAGTGGCCGACTGGCAGGGAGGAGCCTGAGGCCTCTGGTAGGGGATGGGAAGGGATTGCAGGGAGAACCTGGTAAGGAAAGTGGGATCTTTCCGAGAAATAAGTAGCTGAAGAGGAGGCCGGGACAGGGACCCAAGATCCCGGGTGGTAAAGTACCCCGGACCCGGTATAGCCCCGCCCAGACGTCTCTTTCCTGCCCCGCCTCTTGTAGTGGGGGAGGGGCGAGCCCTGCGGAAACGAACTTGATGAGCTCTCGGGTGTCCCCCACTCGCCCTGCAGGGAGGTGTTTAAGGCCAAACATCGCTTGACTGGCCAGAAGGTGGCTTTGAAGAAGGTGTTGATGGAAAATGAGAAAGAGGGGGTAAGTACTGGTTGCCAGCTCCACTGAGCTCCTAGTTTGGGTTTCAATCCTGCCTTTTCTAGGAGCCTGCTGAGATTCTATTTATGTGTAGTGGCCTTTGGAATTGCCACATTACAGGGAATTTGGCCTCCAAATGAAATCTTTTCATTTAAATGTTAATGAAGCCTTTCAAACACAATTGGGTCCAGGAGGTGGGCTCAGGGGTTTACCTAGCACACCTTGGATCTCAGTCCAGGAGCTTATAAAAATTGTTCTCTTTAGCACATGGTCTTGTTAAATGTGAAAAACAGACATACGTGAATATATTGAAAAGGAGCAGTTCCCATCGTACCCCATCTTAGCCCTAACCCAACTCCCCAAAGGCGTATTTTTTAGCAGGGATAGTTTAAAATGGTTTTTGTTAAACACAGGAGCTAAAGTTTGAAGGTAGATGGAAACTATGAAGCATTTATATGTGGTACTGTTTTTTGGTGTTTTTATTTTACAAGTATATGAGGCAGATTATTTCATAGCGTATATTTTTATTCTGTGTTCCAACCTGTTTTCCTTAATAATGGCCCCAGGACCAAATCCTTGTTCTGCAGCCTTCATGCTCACTTTTTTTTTCTTAACTCACTTTTGACTCCTTATCTTTTTCTCCTCCCAGTTTCCCATCACAGCCTTAAGGGAAATCAAGATTCTCCAACTTCTAAAGCATGAGAATGTGGTTAACTTGATTGAGATTTGTCGAACGAAAGGTAAGTTGTTTGAATGTTGTCTCCCATTTTTAGATATGCAGAAAATTGGGCTCATGGGCTAAGACTTTGTTTGCAAAGTTGGAACTGGACATGCTTAAATTGCCTCTTTTTAGCCCAAGCATACCTGGTGTCGCATGGCGACTGTAAGGTTGGTTTGAACTGCAAGGTAGGTCAGTCATTCAGGCTCACCAGCCGCTCCTTGGAAACCCTACACAGGGTTATTTTGAATTGGAATTGGCAGCACTTAACGACAACATACCAGTGGTGACTGCTTTCTCTCTCCCTCTTTCATTGTCGTTGATTCTTTCCTTGGGGCTGCCATATCATCTGGCTCAGAGAAGCACTCAGAATATACTTACCAGTGAAGGAATTAATAAATGATGCTCTGTAGGGCATGGTGATCCATGGATTAGAGGGATAGGAGTTAGTTGTGGGAAAATGGTTTGTGTATAGGATTTTTAATCTCCACCCCCCATATTCTTTTTTCTATCTCAGCTTCCCCCTATAACCGTTGTAAAGGCAGCATATACCTGGTGTTTGACTTTTGCGAGCATGACCTTGCTGGACTGCTGAGTAATGTCTTGGTCAAGTTCACACTGTCTGAAATCAAGAAGGTCATGCAGATGCTGCTCAATGGCCTATACTACATCCACAGGAACAAGGTAAGTGCCGGAGGGGAAGAGGAGAGACCATGCCTTGTGCCCAGTTGGGTGAGTGTGGCCCGAGGCACCTCGCTGAGCTCTCACTTAGCCTTGTCTTGCAGATCCTGCACAGGGACATGAAAGCAGCTAATGTGCTGATCACTCGTGATGGGGTCCTGAAGTTGGCAGACTTTGGGCTGGCCCGAGCCTTTAGCCTGGCCAAGAATAGCCAGCCCAACCGCTATACCAACCGTGTGGTGACCCTCTGGTACAGGCCCCCGGAACTGCTGCTTGGTGAGGACCCCCAAGCGGGCAGAGGAGGGCAGGGGCTGGACACGTGTCCTGCTCCAGCCACCCCTACCTTGGTTTCCTGAGCTGTCGGGCTATTGGCCCCAGGGCATTACATTTCAGGAGGCCCTTGGTTTAAGGAGCTCTTCTAGTACATTCTTCTTTCCAGGGGAGAGGGATTATGGCCCCCCCATTGACCTTTGGGGTGCTGGATGCATCATGGCGGAGATGTGGACCCGCAGCCCAATCATGCAAGGCAACACCGAGCAGCACCAGCTTGCCCTCATCAGCCAGCTCTGTGGCTCCATTACCCCCGAGGTGTGTGTCCAAGCTTCCCAGACCTGTGGTAGGGTAGTGGCCAAAAGTTTCTCCTCTAGAGGGAAGAGGTGGTTCATGGAGGGAAAGACTGGCTCTTGAGTTCAAGTCTCAACTCTGTAACTTATTACCTCTGAGGCTGTAGGCAAGCCATTTAAACCATTATCTAAGAGCTGTTTTGTTCTGATGTGGCAAAAGTAATGCCATTATCATGGTTAGCATCACATGTACGTGAGGTGATTTGTATAAAAGGTCTGGCACTGCACATGTCTTCAGTACATGGTGGCTGCTGCCCTTTTCACCTTCAAGAGTTGAGTTTTCTCTCCCAGATTGGGGAACATCTGAGTGGATAGTTTTGGTTACTTTCAGGGCTTAAGCAACTGAATAAATGATCAGCAGACAAAACCACACGCTAAACTAAGCCCGTCTCCTCTCTTGTTGCCCCCCCACCCCCACCCTAAGGTGTGGCCAAATGTGGACAAATATGAACTATTTGAGAAGGTGGAGCTGCCCAAAGGTCAGAAGCGAAAGGTGAAAGACAGGCTTAAGGCATATGTGCGAGACCCCTACGCACTGGACCTCATTGACAAGTTGTTGGTGCTGGATCCCTCACAGCGCATCGATAGTGATGATGCTCTCAACCACGACTTCTTCTGGTCCGACCCCATGCCCTCAGACCTCAAGAGTATGCTGTCCACACACCTGACGTCCATGTTTGAGTACTTGGCACCCCCACGCCGGAAGGGCAGCCAGATCACCCAGCAGTCTACCAACCAGAGCCGCAATCCTGCCACTACCAACCAGACAGAGTTTGAGCGCGTCTTCTGAGGGCTTGCTGCAATGGCTTTCCATTAGGGCTGTTGTTTTCTTTTGCCTTCTGCTGTTACTTGCACTGCGGAAATTAATGGGGCATTTGAGGTTTCCTCTCTAGTGCACATTTCAACTTCTACCTTGGGCACAACCAGCTGAGTAGACTGGGCAAAGGTTTGCCGAGGCACTGGAGCTGCCTCACCCATTCTGTCTTTCTGGATGGTGCCCAAGTAGGTCTTCATTTCCTTTAGGACACGATGAGGGTTGGGAGGAAAGACTCGCTCCACTAACGATTCTAAGTTCCCAGCCCGACGGGAGGAGAGGACAAGCCCTTCCCCAACCTCACTCATGAGATGAAACGTGTATGCAGGGAGCAGAATTCAGCCTCCAGAACTGACTGCTCACTGCCTTACCTTCAGAAGCACTGGGCTTGGTGAAAATTGGTGGTTTCTTCAATAGAAGAATTTTATATTTCTTTTGTTTCATTGTTTGGAGACATTCTTTATCAGTTTGGTCATTTATAATTAAAAGTTGGCTTCCCGCACCCCCACCCCCCTCCAGAAAGTGGCTGTGTGCTCTGTTCTGCGTTCAGACCCCAAGCTCTTACTCTACAGCTAACAGTTTAGGACTGACTGTTGGGATTTGCTTTATCAAGTCACTAGAAGTCTTGATTGTTTTCTGTATCCTACTTCATGTTGTTACCTTACATACCTGCAGAGGATTTTGTGGTTTGTTCCTGCCTCATGCCCCTTTTTTTCAATATCATTTGTGTTTTCTAGAACACTTGCCATTGTACTTACCAAAGCAGCTCCTGTGATGTCCCCAGGCACGTCTCCATTCAGCCTCTCAGGAGTGGGAGAGCAATTAGGAAATGGCTGGAGAACTGCTGTGTGAGTGGGTCAGGTGCGTCAGCTGTGGCTGGCAGGCAGATACAGGTACCTCTCAAGAAGCTGGAGACATTTTATACAGTAATGATGGTGATAGCTGTAATTTAGGAAAGCTCTTCAGGCTACTGGGTGGAGGGGGAGTTAGGAAGTAAAGTGGAAGTAACAGGAAGAGTTGAAGGATCTATACGTTTGGGACAGTGGCAGGAGCTTGGATCAGGGTAGTGTGGGCAGAAGGAAAGATGAGGAGGTCACATCTTGTGTGTGCAGCTGGGATCCTTCAAGGAGCAGCATGTTCTGGTGGGTCCATTGATTTGGCCTGAAGGTGGGAACAGGCACATTTGAGGGAAAGGCTTCTACGATCTGTCACAAGCAGCTCCCTTGAATGGCACCAATGGGAAGGCTGCTATCATCTATCACCAGAATTGTTCATTTGTAGTAATTGGCCTGGATCACAACTTCACAAAAGAGCAGTGCAAATTTTCCTTTAAAAAAGGTGTATTACCTTCTTGGTGGTGGTATGCTGTAGAGTTGCTTCTGACTCATAGTGACCCTCAATAGGGTTTCTGAGGCTGTAAAACTTGGTGGGAACAGAAAGCCTCATCTTTCCTCCTGGGAATGGCTGTAATTTTGAACTGCTGACCTTGACATTTAGCAGTCCAACTAGTAAGTTGGTTCTGACCCATAACGACCTGTGTAGAGTTTCCAAGGAGCAGCTGGAGAGCTTGAACTGCCGACCTTGTGGTTCAAACCAACCTTGCAGTCCAGTGCATTAACCCCCATGACACCACACCAGTACTCTTCATGGTGAATAGTGTCCTCAAAAATTCTCATCCACCAGGAACCTCAGCTCATACCCGTATTTGGGAACAGGGTCTTTGCATAAGTAATTAGTTACTAGGTGGCACTGAATTGGGTTAGGCCTAAATCCAATGACTGGTAACTTTTTTAAAGACCCTAGACTTACACAGAGGGTAGTTGGCAGTATGAAAACAGACCCAATGATGCGTCCATAAACCTCAAACACCTGAGGGAGAATGAACAGATGCTCCCTTAGAGCCTCCAGAAGGAATCCCACCCACACCTGTGGATTTTAGATTTCTAGCTTCTAGACTAAAAGAAATTGCTGTTGTTTTAAGGCAACCAATTTGGTAAAATTCATCCTTATTTGATGGATTGACTCAGGGACAGCAGTAATGGGATCAAACTTAACAGTGATTCTGAGGATAGTGTATCCTGCTATTGTGCATAAATAAGGTCACTATGCGTCAGGATCATCTTGACAACACCTAACAACAATAACTTTGTATTATGTCAAGAGGCCAAATAGCTAAAGCTATATTGAAAGAGAACAAAAGTAGGAGGGGTTACATTCCCTGATTTTAAAACACTATTTTGTTCATTTCCTTTGAATCAGCTGGTGGGTTTGAACTGCTGACCTTGTGGTTAACAGTGTAGTGCTTATCCTACAGCACCATACCAGGATTCCTAAAAGATACTATAGAGCTACAGTAATCCCAAAAGCCTGGTACTGGTAAAAACTGTCCAGTCACGAATCAAAGTGACTGTACAGGGTTTCCAAGGAGCATATGGTGGGTTTGAACCACCAACCTTGCAGCACCACACCATGACTCCAGTAGACACAGACCAATAGAGTAGAATTGAGAATCCAGAAATTAACCCACACATCTACGATCAATTAATTTTAGACAAATGTGCTAAGTCCATTAAATGGGTAAAGAGTTTTCACTAAGTGGTGCTGGAGACTAAAGGGGCAAGATAAGCAGATGCACTGAGTAGACCCTCTACAATTGTTAGGTGCCATTGGGCCGATAGCAACTCATAGCGACCCTATGCACAATAGAATGAAACACTGCCTGATCCTGAGCCAACCTCACAATGGGCTACATTTGAGCCCATTGATGCTGCCACTGTGCCAATCCATCTCACTGGGGATCTTCCTCTTTTCTCCAACCCTCCACTTTACCAATCATGATATCCTTCTCCAGAGACTGGTCCCTCCTGATAATATGTCCAAAATATAAGAGACCAAGACTGGCCATCCTGGCTTCCAAGATGCGCTCTGGCTGTGCTTCTTCCACACAAATCTGTTATTTTGGCAGTCCATGGTACTTTCAATATTCTCGAACAATCATAACTCGAATGCATCAATTCTTCTATTGTCTTTCTTATTCACTATCCAACTTTCACATGCATATGAAGTTACTGAAAACACCATGCTTGGGTCAAACACACTTTAGTCTTCAAACTAACATCTTTGCTGTACATCACTTTAAAAAGGTCTTGTGCAGCAGATTTGCCCAATACCATATGTCCTTTGATTTCCTGACTGCAGTTTCCATGAGTGTTGGTTGTTCATCCAAGCAAAATGAAGTCTGATGATGTCAGTCTTTTCTCCATCTATATGTATGTTGTTTATTGGTCCAGTGGTGAGGATTTTTGTTTTCTTTACATTGAGGTGCAACCCATACATGATTAAAGGTCGTGGTCTTTAATCTTCATCAATAAGTATTTTAAGTTCTCTTGGCTTTCAGCCAGCAAGGTTGTATCATCTATATATCGCAGGTTGTTAATGAGCCTTTCTCTAATCCTGATGCCACGTTTTTCATATAATCCAGCTTCTCAGATTATTTGTTCTGCATACATAGGTACATATATATTGTTCATCATACTCAATACAATATTCTGATACTTTTCCTACAGTGCCACACCAGGACTCCTCAACCCAGAAATAGAAGTATTCAGAGTAAAATTTAACAAGATTTAAAACAGGGAACCAAAAGAGCCAGTTTGTAACTATAACAACAAAACAGGGAAATGAGAGACTAATGTCTTACAGAATTTCCAAATGGAGGGGAAATCAAGTAGATTTCAAGAAAAAAAAAAAAAAAAAAAACCGAAAAACTAACTGTGAAACAACCAAGCCTTACTTCTAACCTTATCCCAGCTCCTACCCCTAGCACTAACCCTGTTCCTCATCTTAACCAAGTCCTAAGTGTAGTAGCCAGAGTCCTAACTCTTACTCCTAGTCCCCAGTCCCAATAAATGATGCTGGGAAAATTGGATTTCCACATGGAGAAAAGTGAAATGGGATACATGCCACACACCATACATAAAAACAATCTCAAAATATATTAAGAACCTAAATGTGCAAAATAACACAAAAAAATCTTAGATGAACAAACAGGCAGCAGGCTTGCTTTTCAATACTGGATTATATAATATTCAAGCAAAAGTTAAAATAGCAAATGACACATAGGACCTCATAAAATATGGAAAGCTTTTGTTCATCAAAAGACTTTACCAAAGAGGAGAGGAGTTCCGGAGCTTCCCTGACCAGGCAGCTCAGGTAGGGCAGTCTCGGGGAAGAGGGGCGGAATCACACATAAGAAACCTCTGTCTAGCAGACACACAGCCTTTGAACAAACATAAGATCTTATATTTCAACATTCTGAACTTGTTGTTTTAAAAGATCAAATTGCTGAGGAATTACAGGCATTTTGAGCTTTTGCCTGCCTGCACGCGGCTCCTGCTTCTGCGCCTGCGCCGGAGAGTGCCTCTGCCCCCTGCAGACCTTGGAATGCAGGGCTAGAGCAACCCCACTAACAAAGCCAAACAAATAGAGAGGGATATCGGCTCAGGTATCAGGAAATTCGGGGTACCCACGGTACAGAGAGACTCAGAGAGGCATTTTTTATGCCATCAAATACGGACACTACCTCCCAGCAGCCATGCCCCCCAGCCCTCTACTGCCCCGGCCTAGACCAGCCCTCTGCCAAGCCGCCAAGGCTCAGGAACGCCCAAGGCACAGGCCTGCCCACTGAGGCAGAGGCCCTCCCAAGGCCCAGACACTCCCACGGAGGCCAAGGCCTGCCCTGAGGCCCAACCCACCCACAGACT